TGAAATTTGCAGTCAAAGTATCAAGTTTCCGAAGTTTCCTAGCTTTTTGCCATTGCCGAAACCGTACTTAACACGCCTCATTCGGCTTCAAATCTTGTCAGCAATTGCAACGTATTTGTGTTATCATGAATATAAAACGCTTTAGCGTCAAATGCAATACGAAGCTCATAATCGTTAAAAGAATATAACATTTGTCAAAGTTTCTGGAAACTTGCATGTTCACACTTTAGGAAACTTTTTTATAATATCAAAAATATAATTAGATTTTGTGTGAATTTTAATGTTGTGTCTTTTCACGGTGAAGTAGTGTAACCGTCGTCACTTTCGACAATGCAAACGAACGTGGAGCAGCACGTTTGGTATGAAGCAACCCAAATGCTGCAAAGGCACACAAGCGCCACTCCGAACGCAAACCACCAAAGACGCTTCCGGTCACTCTTCGGAACAACACCCGCAGTCGTAGCTACAATTTGGGTTGATCGATCCAGCGTCGACCCTGGAACATGCATTGCACACTTGCTATGGGCTTTGATGTTCCTTAAATTCTATGCCAGCGAAACTGTCCATGCGACGACAGCACGAGTCGATGAAAAGACCTTCAGGAGGTGGGCTTGGTATTGGGTGTCGATACTGTCATCCTTGGACAAGGTAAATCGGTTATACCGCAATTAAATAACATCATTAATAGCTCATATGGGCGAACCGATTTGATGGCGCCCAACCAGATGCTACAATGTTTGTCTCGTTGGACGGTACTGACTTCCGTATACAAGAGCCAACACCATTCGACCCCTCATGGTATTCCCACAAGTTCCACGGTCCTGGCCTGCGCTACGAAGTTGGATTGTGTATTACAACAGGGCACATCGTTTGGGCCAACGGAGGTGTTCCCTGTGGAAGTTGGTCAGACTTATCGCTTGCACGAAATGCCTTCGTGCACGCACTAGAGGACGGTGAAATGGCATTGGCGGATCGAGGGTACACGGATCAAGAGTTTTTCGTAAACTCAAGATATCAACCCGAAAGCGCTCACCGTCAAAAGGAAATCATGGCACGGCATGAGACTGTCAATGCACGATTGAAGCAGTTTGGTGTGATGCGGCAGATTTTCCGACATCGAACTGATCTCCATATTGAATGCTTCTATGCTGTGATCAACGTTGTCCAGCATGGGATTGAAACCTCCAATCCGCTGTTCTCAGTAGTTGAAGAAAATTAGGTTAATCATTGATTAACAATTTCCCGCAGCCTCCTAGCTACTGTATTTAGTTTCAAGAACATTTGTGGCTCAAAGTTCGGCGGCGTTATTGAGCGACGTTGATCGGTCAAAGCTAGTTTTGCCCACGAGAAGAACCGCTCGCACATATTCGACGTGCATCGCAGGAACCGGCAATCCAGGTACTTGAACTCGGCAATCGAGTTCCAGTGAGAAGCATCAATTGAGATATGGAAGTGTATTCAGGATGGCATTTCACAACATGAGAACACAAGTTCGTGTACACACTCGACTTTTGAGAGCGCTGTCGCCCACACTTACACTTCCACACAGTTGGGTCGTCGGTCCGTTGGAAAAAGACCTCGGCGAGCGCCTTCCCACTAAGGGGTTTTGTTGGATGGGTCACGGTTGACATCAAATGAGCAAGTGAGGTGTCATTGGCAATCATTGGCAATTCATGTGAACCAATCAATCTACAATCAATTTGGTCCACTGGAAATATGAAAAATTATCTACCCACATAATAACTTACTCTTTTTTAAATCAGCGTATCAATTATCTATGTTGCCTTGCACGTCCAAAAAGTAACTTAGTTCAGTCGACAAGGTGAATAAATAACTTTTTATAGTTCAAACTATAAATTACTTTTTGTATGAGCTATTTATTCGGAACCACTGCTTGAAACTACCCAACTGCCCATCTCATGGTGATGCCTTCTGCCATCACGTCTGCCTTGAAGGTCTCGTTCCGCGTTATCCAGTAACTGCCGACCCAGTACAAAATATGATGCGCGCATCGTATCCGATCTCAACTAAGCTCGAAGACATTTGCCTACTTGAGACTTTATCTGGTCGACAGGTGGCCAAGGTAATGGTGTCCCTCGCCGAACTGTACGATCCTGGTATGCTCAGCGCTTAGTGCTCCTCTGCTTCGACGGGAACGAGACGAACAAAAGCATCGAACCAGGTGGACGATACGAAGAGCTCTCGGACCCCCCAGGTTTAGTAGGATCTTCTAACACGATGAGAGATAATGAACTCGCTCTAACTTCAATTTTGAGAGCCATGCCGCTGACGATGCGTACATGATCATGTACGAAGAACTTGGCTCCCACCTCTGTGCGTTGCCGCCGAACGCACATCGGTTTGTCAACCATCTTTACGCCGGGGTGATGGCGCCGTTCGAGAGTAACCTACGCAATTTGTGGTTGTATGAAGAGCAACTTGATGACGACGAAGATCCGTGCTCACTAAGTGTGATTGGCCATGTTGATGCGAGTCATTGCTGCTTGGGATATGGTCACTGCTACACGATTCAACAGTCCTTTGCAAAGGCACTTCGAGAAAATTGAATACGATTTTTTTGTTGTAATAAAAATTCATCCTATTCTATACTAATTTTGAGATTTAAGTAGTGCAAATTTTTATAAAAAAAGTTTGACGCGCCCAGGACTCGAACCGGCGCTCACTTGAGACACACAACGTGTTTGACCACTGCACTATCGCGTCGAACGCTTACCTATATATCGGTCAGCGGCGCATATCTGAAATTCTGTATACAGGACGTACATTTTCAGAATATACATTAACTCTGTTTTTATGGTAATTTGTATTGAGAATGTCCGTTCCTTAATTATGTCTGGGTGCAAAAATCGATTGTTGTACGGAAAGTCCTTGCTCGCTCATTGGTAGCCATAACCACGTTTCCAGCATTCTAATTGGCTAA